CAAACTCTTGGGCTTAAGAGATTCTCTTGCCTCAGCCTCCCAAGTAGCTGGGACTACATGTGCCCACCACAATGCCTGGCTATTTTTTGGTTGTCATTGTCATTGTTGTTTAGCTGGCCCATGCCGGGTTTGAACCTGCCACCCTCGGTGTATGTGGCTGGCGCCATAACCACTGTACTACAGGCACCGAGCCTTTCCCCCTTCTTTTTTAATATCATGATTTTAAACCAATTGTCAATATCAACAGTATTGTAACTATAAAGTTATTACTCACAGGTGACAAGCACTCTACTAGAATTACTTTTGTTTTCTTCTAAACATTTTTCCCCCTGAGGCTGATGCCTCCATTTTTTTCTTCATATATATATAGTTTCCACTAATTATTTCAGAATGCTTAAACTCATCTGTTGAATAACTATGGTTATTTTTCAAGTGTTCAACTCTTTATCAGTTCCTTTTTCTTGGCATTGTCTCTGTATACTTGTTGTCAACTTTTATCTGGGAACTCTCTTCCTAGTATCTTGAATCCATAGACTCTACAGGATCTATCTTTATTATTTATCTTGAGATATTTAAGAATTAAATAATATGACATCACACACTTGCTTCAAAACAATCTGAGAGTGGGTGGGAAGTGACTCATAACTGGTTCTCTTTTTATAATTGTTGGCACTAGTTGATGGGTAGTAGAGGGTTAATTATTGCTCTATAATTTTTTGTGTCTGAAATTTTCTATAGTAACAAGATTTAAAAACTTTTAAATCACAGGTTTTGTTTTTTTTTTAATTATTGTAAATACAGACTGGGTGCAATGGCTCACAACTTTAATCCTAGCACTCTGGGCGGCCAAGATGGCTGGATTGACTGAGCTCAGGAGTTCCAGACCAGCCTGAGCAAGAGCAAGACCCCATCTCTAAAACATAAGCAGGCCTTGTGGCAGGCAGGTGCCTGTAGTTGCAGTTACTTGGGAGGCTTCTGCAAGAGGATAGATTGTACCCAGGAGTTTGAAGTTGCTGTGAGCTATGATGCCACAGTACTCTAGTCAGGGGCAAAAGAATGAGACTCTGTCTCAAAAAAAAAAAAAATTATAAATAAAATAATAACTTCCACTAAGTTCTTCTTATTATTTTACCTACAAAGTCTGCTGATTTTTATGTATTATTTTTTAATCCATCCATATCACTAAATTCTCTTATTATTTTTAATAGTTTTCTAGTTGACTCTCTTGGATTTTTCATGCATTCAATTATACAATGTGCAAATAAATGATAAATCAACTAAATTTTCAAGCATAAGGTTAATTTCTTTATCTAATTTGTTAACAACTTCCTCCCGAATCATATAATAATAGTGTTAATAATTGTAATTCTCCTCTTGTTCTTAACTTTAAAAAGACATTTTCTCAGGGTGTGTTTGATGATTACACACTTAATTTGTTGGAGATAGGAGAGATTTGTCTATTTAAAGTTTTTATCCCTTTGGAACTGGTTTTGATGAATTATATTTTCCTAGAAAATTATTCATTCCATTCAGATTTTCAAACTTATTTGAAAAATTGAACATAAGTATCTCTTATAAATCTTTGAAATTTTCTATATGACTGCAATTAGTCTTCTACTTATCACCTCTTATTTTGTGTAACTGTGATGTTTCCTGTTTTATATTAAAATTAGCTCAGCAAAGAACAGGCATGGTGGCTCATGCCTGTAATCCTAGGTCCAATGTAATCAAACTGCCACTTGATAGCTGGACGGTCCCCTTAGAAAACTGCCATTACAGTGTTCAGTGTTGGTCTCTGCTGTTAACAGATTAGGCACTCAGCAGTAGCACTGCCAGGTTAACCTTGGCAATGGAAATGTCCATAATACTGAGCCCATGCATAGCACTCCTGACTGCCATTGTAGCCACTTTGTTCATGGGTCCATAAGGAAGCACTGGGGTGACTGGGGAAAGTGGGTGATAGACCACTTTCTGTAACAACCAGAACAAGTCTGCAACTGCCTGGGTAATGAGCGTAGAACCACACATCTGGCCAACTCTCTCTCCAAAGCAGACTTCCAAAGATGTTAGGTAGGGATAAAGAGGAAGGAGGACAGCTGCTTTGTTTAGGGGTGTCCACTGAGAGGCAGATGACACTAGGAGATGTTTACTAGGAAAAACAAAGTGACCAGATGACATGTCAAGGGGGTCCCTAAAGACTAACCAGATGTCTGGTCTACAATAAGGGTCTCCAAGGACTGGTCAATCAGAAAGAAGTAGAAAAATCACAAAGTAGAAGTATTATGAAGGCCTCCATAGAGGGTCTTGGAAGCGTGTGCACAGTTGAGGCAATGGTGTCCCTAAACGACCTACCCTCATTTACATAGTAAAAAATCATATTTTTTACTATGCCATGACATTTACAAATACCATAGCAACCCCCAGAAATTGCCTTACAAGGATAGAAAAGGGAGGGCTCCCAATACCAGATATTCTCCAACTTTTCCAAGAAAAATTATGAACATT